ATACTATAATGTATTATAGTTTTTATTTTCTCTTGACATGGAAGAGATTTTCTATATATTCATTTTTTATAGTGCCTTGTCTTTTTCTATTAGGATATTACATTTGTTATAATAGTTGCACATGCATATAAAAACATTCCTTCTAAAGAGAGAAAAAAAAGAAACTGATATACGTTTGGTTACAAATACTTATACAAACAAATTCAAGCAATATATATATATATATATATATATATATATATATATATATATATATATAGAGAGAGAGAGAGAGAGAGAGAGAGAGCGACGTAAGGAGCTACGAGCATTGAGAAATCTGCATAAACATTCAGAAATACTTGTAAGAAAAAAGGCTTACATGTGTTTAGTCACAAAGTTTTGTGTCCGTTCAGAATCTGTTGCATGTGTTTCTGCTTGTACGAAACAGTCAACTGCAAGAAGCAAGTTGCCTCTAATCCATAATGACGTTAATCTAAATGGCATTTTGACGGAACCGACGAATTTTTTCTCAGTCGACCACATTTACTAGGGTGCGAAGATTAGTTTGTGCCTATGCTTTCTGGCAAGAATTCATGGTCGTGTGCGTGTGTAAGAATGGGAGGGGTGAGGTGAATTGTGCAAGAATTTTGATCCCTGGAATTGCGTGTGTGGGAAAAATATGTACGTTATCGTATCAGAATCATTGTCTGAACGAAGGGGAACGAAAGAGTTTGCATGTGACAGAGACACAATAAGAAAGGAACTTTGGACAGATGGTGTATAGATGTATCATAGTAAGAGAGATATGCAGATAGAAAGAAAGAGAGAGGGAAAGTTATAGAGAGAGCACAATAAAAGAGAGAAGGATGGAGAGGTTTGGTTTCATACTGTTTTGACACAAGATTGGGGGTTAACTATTTACCCTTACCTGGGATCCTACTAGGTATTGCCACCCCGGGCCAGGGTGAACACAAGCAATCAAGAGGTGGTTTCACGATTTTCAGAACTTCCTGATCAGAGGCCTTGCTGTCGGATGTAGTTTATCGTCAAACAGGAGGCTTTATTGGTGGGGGTCATACCCGTCGGTAGAGATGCAGTAGACGTGTATTCTGATGCCCCAGCCGACACGGCGGAGGATGGAGAGAGAGAGAGAGAGAGAGAGAGAGGGAGATAGAGAGAGATAGGGAGAGAGAGAGAGAGAGAGAGAGAGAGTAAAAAAAGAATTACCATTGACGTAATAAGCTCTGTTTTTATGTGCGAGTATATTTTTAATCTCATACCTATCTACATGTATGAGTCTGCATTGAAATATACAGGTATGTGCACATATATTTTTGTTGTTTATACTGTAGTCTATGCATCTTTGTTTGATTTAAAAATGATTGAAAAAGAACATCTGACGATCGTTTTTCCTGGCGTGTAATTGAATTTCTTACAGCAGAATCTCATCACACACACACACACACACACACACACACACACACACACACACACACACACACATATATATATATATATGTGTGTGTGTGAGTGTGTGTATGACGTTTTTAAATAAATTCACACATTTTAGTTTTAGTAGGAATTTAGACATAGTCAATGAATACAGTTTCAACAAAAAAAAGCCCCACAACCCTAAACCTGGCAAACAACTAACCCCAAACTATGAGATGTAATCTGCAATATAACACATGCGAAAAAATAAATTCCCTAAAAAAAGCCCAACTTCATTTTATTTCTCTTTGAGAAAGGACATAGATGTGTGTGTGTGTGTGGTACATTTGGGTAATAATGTTTAATTTATGCAGGTTTCCATTGTCAGGGTCATTTTTTCTGGTTTTCGAGGAAAATTTGCACACACATATTCTAATACTTTATGAGTAATTTCAGCTTTCACAAGCTTTTGTAGAACATCGTAAGTACGCTTTTTCAACCATGAAGGCAATATCTACACCTAAAATTGTGTTGGTATGGGAAATCCACTCAGTTCGTGCTGCTCTAACTACTACATGTCCCGCGTAGAAAAAGATATCAACAAAGTTACTAAACTCAAAATATATGTCCGCTTCGTTAGATGCCGTCGTAGAATTCAGTAGTAACATATTTACTACTTGTTTATACAAAAAAAATAAACAAAAAAACAACACAAAAAAAACTATAATAGAAACTCTTTCCACCTTAATTTTATGAATTAGATATAAAATAGGCGTTATAAAAATTTCCTCATGAAAGCACACGAGAATTCATCCTCTCGTCCTCTTTTACTTGAAGAACTCAATAATGTGAAACAAACGCGAATCAACAACGGTTTTCCGAACTAATTCATTGATTACCAGATCAGACTATTTCTTTCTAAGTTAACTAATAGCAATATTGATCATGTAGATAAAAACAATAACATTAACATTTTTTACAAAAGCTAAATACACTTTAAATATAAGCAAGATTAATTTTCTCTGAGAAACATTATAAAGAAATACACAACCCCGATCGACCAGAAAAAAGAAAATTCAATTAATTATCTACTACAAAGAATTAAAACAGCTAAACATATCATCAACAAAAACTGCACACCAGCAAGATTTAAATTACAGAGAACCAATATTATTTATGAATTCAAATGCCGCTTAAGGAGCTATGTTCCTGATCAAACCAATCTCATGAATAATTATATTGGGCATACCACTACATGCCTATCGGCAAGACTCACGTTAAACCTCTATGATCATAGCTCATTTAGGATGCATTTTAAGAAACACAGAAACATACTAAACGCCAATATACTTGTAGAAAATACAAGGATAATAGCCTCATCCACATGTAAAAAAAAGTAAAAATAATGGAAGCACTAATAATAAAAAGAAAAAGCCAACACTTAATAACGTCAGCTATAAATACAGCCACAATGTGCTGACCGTGTTTGGAAAATAAAACATTCCTATAATTCTCTATACATACATAAAAAAAAACTTCATAAATTCAGTTTAAAAAAAACTAAATAAAACTAATAATAATGGCTAAAAGAATAGCCGAAAGCGGTTGAATATGCAGAACATTTGGACAGTTATAAAAAAAACAAAACTTTATGTCCAGAAAAGAAAACACTTATACGAACACAAGAAGAATGACATAACAAGCTTAATCACAATACCTTGTCGTTCGCATGGGTATAATATTTAAATACATGCATCGTTTATGCCTGTAATTGCATGTATTTAGTATATATATATATATATATATATATATATATATATATATATATATATATATATATAGAAAGAGAGAGAGAGAGAGAGAGAGAGAGAGAAAGAGAGAGAGAAACAAATAATTTAAGGAAATATAAGAAATGATTTTTGTTTATTTTTCTATCCTGACCCTCCGTTGAAAGGGAAAATATGTTTATAAATTTTCAGAAAATGTTACAGGCATAATAAAATTTATTTTGATTTGGCTATCTAGCTTCCTTGAATTAATGAAATATATTTTCTGATTTTAAAATTAATAGATGAAAATATAAAAAATGTCTTTCCTTTCTCCTTTATTATGAGTAAAGTATTAAAGATATTGTGCATTAGGAATATTTGGAATATTTTCGTAAGTATGTCGTCCAAGGGATTATTTTGTCTGCAGAAGATATTCATCGAGGAACAGCACTTTTGCTTAATGTTCCAAACATATGCATAAAGATAGATAGATAGATAGATAGAGAGAGAGAGAGAGAGAGAGAGAGAGAGAGAGAGAGGCGGCGAGAGACAGCCGATTAAAATGTAGTCAATAAATTTTGTACCTGCAGATGAACAATTCTTTCAAGAGAAACTGGTTTCTATGTCCTTTAAGGTTTGTAGCACTAAAACCATGCAAGTATGCACAGACTTACATACATTGAAAGTTGCTGTCAGTTCTTATGAAACTCAAAGAAAATGTTTAGTATATTTGCTTTGCTCTTTATTGAAAAGCAAATCATTTGTTCTCATAAAAATTCAGTCAGTAGTGCCGTGTCTATTATTGTCAAGTGAAAGCCGTTATTCAATGACTCAAACAATTTTGAGTCAAAATTTTCTTGGTGGTCAATAACATTTTTATTTGATGATATGCAAATGCATGCAAACAAGTTGCAAGGATGTTTTTAAAATATGGAACAAAAATAAATATTAATCAAATGTAGATTCTATTTATTGCATAAGTTCTAGATTTGTATAGTATAAGATAAAAAAAAGTCACCTAGATTATTTTTGAAGATATTTTTAAGGCTCACCGTGCTCAGTATTAAGAGATAAAGCATTTAATAGAATTAAATGTTGACTGATCTTATCCCTGCTCTGAGTTTCGTAGAGATGATATCCACTTGTCAGCAGACGTGATTGTAAAATTTAGAGGTAATCTCCATGAAACTGAGAGTAGGAATAATATAATGGAACATTTTATCTATCTATCTATCTATCTATCTATCTATCTATCTATCTATCTATCTGTATATGTGTGTGTGTGTTTGCTAGGCTAGTGTCGCTGAAAAACATCTGCCTGAAACCTGACAAAATTCACATTTTTTTTAATTCTTTCTTGGTTTGGTCTAGGTCTTTTTATCAACAATCCTGCATATAGAGGTATCTATCTATCTATCTATCTATCTATCTATCTATCTATCTATCTATCTATCTATGAGATGGAGTATGTACATGCATATTTGTTCAACGAATATACCTGCGTATATCGATATACTTGCACGATGTAACTGAAATACACTCTTGCTTATGTGCATAAATGTATTCATATTTTTGCACAAACACTTACTAATGCACACATAAATACGCATGCATATAAATAAACTCTGCATATGTTTATGATTCATACTAGTATGCATATATTCAATAGTTCTAGCCATTCAAATGAAGATTCTTAACATCATCATCATGGTGTGTGTACGTGCTCATGTCTGTGTGTTTGTCTACATATTTAAATGTGTCCATACCGATAAATACATGTATACCTATTTAATTTACGTATCTATATCTGGATATATGCATCTATCGAGATGCATCTATCGAGATGCATATATCGAGATAGATAGATAGATAGATAGATAGAGAGAGAGAGAGAGAGAGAGAGAGAGAGAGAGAGAGAGAGAGAAATATAAGTGAAATGGTTACACCAATACTTATTCGTTTTTGCAATGAAGCTACGGAAAATAACAGAAAAGTCCCGGGGTAAATACGAATAAAAATGAATTTAAGCAAAGGTGAATTATTACTTTCCTCGCTTCACAGTTTCTACTGAAATAAAGAAATAAATATAATACCTAAATAAATTGCGTCTGGAGGCGGATTTTGCAGGAAATGATATTTTTCATTGGAGAAATCAAAGACAAGTGGAAAGAAACAAACACACCAGAAGACAGACAGACAGGCACACACACACCAAAATGCAAACACATACTCTCCTGTATTACACACATATACATAGAGACAGCTGGTTATATATATGTGTGTGTGTGTTTGTGTGTGTGTACATACAATAATTTAAATGCATGTTCCTTTTTATTTACATATAAGTCAAAGAATTTAAAAAGAAAACTTAAAAACCTGCACATGTACAGACACACACATATATATAGGTTCATATCTACATATTGATATGCACTTATTTTGTATAATTTCATACGTTATGTTATATACAGCTATATGAAAAATATATTTAGAAATATATGTTTATATAAGTAATATATTACCTATGAAAACGCAAATATGTATTTAATAATATGTATTTATGTTCAAAATAGTATAGGGATAAGCATATAATTACATTTACCTTATTTAAGATGCATCTGTATATATATATATATATATATATATATATATATATATATATATATATATATATATGTTTGTGTGTGTGTGTGCGCGCGTGTGTACGCAGTCTTGTAAGCAGCTGATATGTTGACATATATGTTTTAAACATGTTTTGACGCCTGCATATCACGATTTAACATAGAAAATGGGCATGGACATTATCAGCCAGGAACTTGTTTTCATTTTGTACTTACGCACAAAGCTGACCTTAAAAGTAGACTTGGTTGAACAACGGAAATTTTGAAAGAAATTCTGGCTCAAATATACAGTGGCAAAATAAAGTGTGTTTATATCTTTTCCGACATAGGCTCAAAGAATCTAAATATATTTACATAGATTTTGTTTTGTTTTTCTGAGTTTAATAATTTAATAAACGAGTGGATGTCCAAAGAACTGTTTTTTCGTTCAATTGTTTCCGCTGTTTACTGTGTACATTTTTCAATATTATACCATATACATATACATATATATATATATATATATATATATATATATATATATATATAAATATCTGTTGCTCAGCATATCTTTCCCTGTCAATACACTTAAATCAGTTATGATTATTGGTTACATCGATCGATTACTATGCAGTAAATATTCAACCAATAACTACATATAACTAATAACATTAGTAACTACATATAAGTAATAACATTATATGTGAGTTGAAAATTTCATGGTAATCGTTCAAATGGTCTATTTCTTCTTTGGTACACTGACCGCGTTAATCTCGTAAGTTCTAGCCTACTAGATTGGCAATTAGGTCTCTTTCTTTTACTATTGAAATAGCTAGATGTAGGTTCTATTCTAATAGTTTATTTTCTTTTCTCGCACTTCTCACCTCTGGATCTCTCCCGGTTTCTTGTTTCATTGCCAACTTCAAAAATGAAAATGCGACATCTATGGTCAACCCATTCTTTTATTGTCCTTTCGTCTTCCCATATCCTGGCTTTTTATTGTCATTTCTCGTCACTAAAGTCTCTTTTTCTTAGACTCCCATTAACCCCTTACGTATTACTGCCATTATCGCATTTATTGGGGTGGAATGATAAAAACGACAAAATGATTAAATAAGGAACAATTAGAAAATCTTTATAAAAAATTTAACATATTTCATTATATATATATATATATATATATATATATATATATATATATATATATATATATATATCTTTTGGTGGAGGGAATAATGTGGTATTGTTTCCGTGACGTCTGCATAACCAATGAAGACAAAACAACATAGAATTTAAAAATTGAAATAACACCGCATTATGTCTCTTCCAAAACATCCTGATGAAGCTAAATTAATTGCTAAACATGTGAAATTTACAAAGGTTTTCCTACTTGTTTCTTATTTAATCAGTATTATATATATCTTGATCAGGTGTTGGCTTGATTTCAGTTGCATGCTGTCAAGTCGAAGCCAATACGGGAGAGGCATATTTCTCTATATCGACTGGAGGAGATGTTTTTGGAACCAGTCAGGCTCTGGATTTTTGGTGCTGCCTCGCTTCTGTTTTTTCTGACTTGAAGCTCGGTTGCCTATTCAATCCCGTGCTTCCGTGGCCTGACACCATGTCTTATAATCTCAGACAACACTACTGCTGAAATCGCCTAGTACAATAACATTTTATGTCGCTATGAGATTTGTTACAAGGCAGCCCGCATCAAATCAAAATATTATGTTTCTCCAGTGGACCCGACTTCAGGATTGGAATGTTTTGTGTTTTGCCTATCATTTAAGGGCAGGCGCATGTTGATGATGCATTCATAGTAGCGTCTTTACCATGAAATCAACTTCATAGCAATATTTCTCTGTTTATAGATTGCCCAACCAGTGAAAGGTATTGCCTAGTTTGTACTTTTTTTTTATTCAGGCGGCTTCTCTGATAGATTCTTAAGATTCTTTATATAAAATTTGTTATGTCTTAGTGCAATGAGAGTGGGTGAGTAAGCGAATGGTTACAACGTTGAGTTTTGACGCAGATTCGAATAAGGATTTGCAAAGCTAGACTTAAAACATTCAAACTTTCTGTTAGGTGACCTTGATAATATCAGTTTGAAGACATGATGGCAGATGCCTGAAAACCAGATTACAGGTAGACTCAAATCTTGTGAGTGAAATTGGGTAGATGAAACTGTTTAGAAGTTGTCTATGTCCGTATCAGCAAGAAGTCAAAGTAATGGTGACGAAAGGTTTGAGCGTACTGACATTGTTTTACTACTGATCACACCAGATTATACGCTATCTTCCTGAAACTTTGACTAAGATCTATTCAGTGTAAACCATAGGTTGGCTCCGTGTGTGTTGAAGGAACACAAATATGACTGAGCAGGCACCTATAAAAGGATTAGCTAGTCATTCGAAAAGACATCGTAGACTGATAGATGCTTACTACGAAGGTAACCAGAGAAGAACGGAGCCAGTGTTTGTGTCTTGCATCGTTTTCACGTTCCAGCTCGTAAGTTTTAAGGGTATTTTTCGTTTAGTCTTAATTGACGTTTGTGCGACTGTTTGTGGAAGATACCCGTTGATCGCTGTAAAGCAACTTAGATGAGAACTTTCTTTTTTTTCTTTCAGTTTTTCTCGTGTGGAGCAAGTAGTACTGTCCTAGAAATGGATACATTACTGATCATTTTGTTACTGCGAGGCATATTTGTCTCCCTAGTCAGTATCAAATGGTTACTTGTCCTTAGGATGCTTTTAAGCAGGACTGGAACTTCAGTGTGGTCCAAGTCGCCGCAAGGCTGTACTGGGTAGGTGGAGAATCACCATACTTGTGCAGTGAAGCATGACTAACCCAACTTTTTAAAAGTGGGTTTGCTTGTGGGACCATCTCGGCAATGTCCCTAGGTCAGACCTTTTGTAGGTGTTTCCTACTCTTTCTAGCCAATGAACCATGCTAGTTGATAAGGTCTCCCCAACCCAAGTAATATGTTCTCTCTAGGCACTATGGAGCAAGAGGTATGCACTGATCCTGATCACTATAGTTAAAAGGTTAAATCATATGGAACATTCTTATCTGGTAAAAAAAACCGAAGTAAAAAATAATAACAAATGGAGAGTTGTTATCATATTTACTCACATCTTTTCTTGAAAGACTATTACCACTCTTTTTAAATTTGACGTGTATTTCTTATTTCTCTTCTCTGCTATAAGTTTATTTGGTGTTTGGTTTGACTAAATGAAGAATATTTGTAAGTTTTAAAGTCTAGCTTTAAAACCTTAAGTCATCATTGACTTAAAGTATTAAAGTCCCATCTTTTTTTTTTGGTTGTAAACTGCATACATTGGACTGCGCCTCCAATTTTGATTGAGCCTCATTTGAAGAATGAACTTTCATAATACTACTAATATTACGACTCTTTCTTATATTACAATGCAGATTTTTGCATTTCTGTTTCTTCAATTAACCAGAGGTAATAAATAATAATTATAATAAATGCATTGAACTTTCCTAAGATAGCACCGGAGTGAACAGCATAATAGAAGCAGCCTCAACACAGACATTATTAACTCAAAATCGTTCTATCTCTGCCATATAAAAGCCCATATATGCTTGCTTTTATGCTAGTAGGTCTAAACCTTTTTTATTTTTCTCATTTTCTCCATCTCTCCGGAAATGACAGAGACTTTGAGCTCTGTTTTGGAAAGATACAAACTAAAATATAAAAAAAAATGTTTTTAATACATTAGTGGGTAAATACAAATAGCATTGTTCCTACTAAGGCTAATATAGTTTCCCTGAGATTGCACCAAAATGAACAGGTGTGTTGGTGTGTCTGCTTATCTTATTGAACATATTATTTTCTGTTTGAAAAATAGGAAAGCAACAAGAGCGCTTTTCAAAAAAAATCCAATTCGATTTTACCAGTTAATCTTAAGTGAAAATTCAAAAGAAATATTTTATTCGATTATAATTGAATAGAAAAATAGACTCTTATTCAAAATGATTAAAACAAATCTATAACACCATAAACTGAATACATGCATACTCAGGTGAATAAACCTGCGCTGGGACACTTATTTACTTATATACAAATATAAACAATCAGCTAAATGTAAACTAAAGCCTTATTCTGATAGTGCATATAATTATACAAAAATATCTATTAGGTGTACTTGGCTTTTGCATAACTCCTTCTCAGGTTTGTTGTTAGATTTATGTCATTTGAGACGAGTATGCTGACCATTGCTATATACCATATACTTTTAAATATTCCTTATAAATGATGCCAATAAATGTGAAATGATATAGTAAAAAAAGAACAAGACTATGAACATATATTAGTGATAATAAGCCTCTGTTAAAACAAGTAGACATAACCGCAAGTGAATGGAAAAACAATGAAATTTTAAACATTAAAGTTCATTCTTCAATGCTATGTCCCTTTAAGACTTAGGAGATAATGGCTCTCCAAACTTTCTTACTCTTAAAAAGTATCTGTAATTTGTGGATTATCATGATTAGTCATGGGAAAGATAGTGGAATTTTTTCCCGTTAGCTCTACCTCAGTTTGGGATTTATTTTATATCTGTTGCCAAACAAGTCTGCATAGATCAGTCTTCTATATTAATTAAGCCTCAGCCAAGATGTGCTACATGTATATATGTATGTATGTATGTGTGAGTGTTTGTGCGAGTAACACTAATAGTCTGTAGTCTGTTAATGGTTTGGCACCACAGTAATGTAGACTAAAGTATGAGAGGGCGTTTGAAATTCTCAGTAAGTGAGGAGAGTTTCTTTGTAAGACGATTTGTAGCTGACTGCTCGTGCACAAGTCGATTCATATATGCAATAAAGTAATGATGAAATATCCTAGATATGATGAAACTATTAATGATTAATGTCAAATCCGATACTAATTATAAAAATCAAAATAACTTACAGATTTCTAGCTATAACCCATTTATTCCCATTTTGTGTTAAAATGGGTTTCTAAATAACAATTTGTTTCTAATAACAATTTGTTTCTAATAACAATTTGTTTCTAAATAACAATTTGTTTCTAATAACAATTTGTTTCTAATAACAATTTGTTTCTAAATAACAATTTGTTTCTAATAACAATTTGTTTCTAATAACAATTTGTTTCTAAATAACAATTTGTTTCTAAATAACAATTTGTTTCTAATAACAAACCACACGTTTTTGGAAGAACTGATAACAGTTAAATGCTGTTTAGTGTGTTACGAAATCTTTAACTAACTTATTCGGATTTGAATTCAGTGTTTTCCTTCTACATGTTATCTTGCTGTTATCCAAGGCAAGAGAGACCAATATTTCCTGTTTTTAAGCCACCGCTGGTGGCCACACACACACACACACACACACACACACACACACACACACACACACACACACACACACACACACACACACACACACACACACACACACAGTATATATATATATATATATATTTGAAATTTGGTTTAAAAATTTTACTGTATGTAGGGGAGAAGATACCTTAATATTGGAGATAGAGCATTTGTAGATATACGTAGAGTTGACATGGCCATATATACTGCATGATGAATGTCAGTTTTACATCTGAGACTATCTTCAGGTCAAGTGTCACTACTCCTTGCTTGCGCGGGCTATTTATATTATGTAATATAGAGTCCTCGCAAAATAGGCATAAGGTCTAAATATTGTTAAGGCATGAAACTGGCGGTCACCATACATTGTTGATGTCCTATGTCCAGACATAATTATTTATGAAGTGTGTGTGTGTGAGTGTATATGTGAGAGAGAGAGAGAATGAGAGAGAGAGCGAGACAGAGAGAGATAGAGGCGAAGAGAAGGAAGGAGAGAGAAAGAAAGAAAAAGAAGGAGAGAAAGAGAGACAATATTCTACGTGATCGAAAGTTAAAAAGAGAAATTTCCAACCCAGAAAAGTTACAGGTGTCTATGCTAAATATTTAATATGTATGATTTGCTGACAACATATTACTAATATCGGAATCATTGAATGACACAAAAGAAATCCATAATGACCTGAATAAGAAAAGTTTCAATGACGGTTAAAAATAAACAAAAATATTTTATTTTAATGTTCTGGAAACGATCATCAAAATAGAACTGGAAGAGGGCCAATAATATAAGTATACTTCTGACAGCTCATGGCATTCATGTAAAATGACGAAAAGGAAATAAAACGATGAATAATGATAATACAGAGAGTATTTAACAAAAATAGATATCGAATTACTTTGCTAATATTTTTAAAACGTAAAGTGTATAAGGAATGTATAACGCAAACAACGACGGACAGGTCTGTAACATGGACATTAAGAAAATCGCTTAAAAACAAACCAAAAATGCACAAAGATCAATAGAGATATCAAAGCTAGCGATCACTCTAAGAGATTCAATGAGTTCGACATCGATCAGAGAAATGACCGAGTGGCGACATATCACAGGAAGGATTTAACAACAAAAATCAAGAAACGATAACAGATGGAGTAAAAGGTTGCTAACAAAACAGTTGGCTAACAAAACAGTTGAAAAATAGCAGATGAAGAGAGGAAATAGAGTTGTTCGTAATAAAACACTACACAACTATATGTCCATAACTGTTGAGCCATGTGTACAAAATCAAATTACGACGCACACGTTACATACGCGCATACAGGCATGTGCGTAAGTGCGACCACTGTGTGTAAGTATACAGTGTACACAGGTAAATTTCATTCCAATTTTCTTATCTATTTATTTAGATACATTCACACAGAAACAAAATTACAAGAACACATATTAGCAACCGTGTAAAAACTGTGTACAACACGCTATAAAATAAGCAGGTGCGTTAACACACGCATATATATTTAAATATATAACTAACTTACTCATATAGGCACAAAAAGGCAGATAAATAAATATGCAAACAAAATCATGTAAGAAACCAGGAACATTGTAATTTAAAATCTGCTATGAAAAGAAAAAAAATGTACAAAGTGAACAGAGATTGATATTGGGAATCGAGAAAAATACGGAAGCGAATCGCAAGGCAGAACAGGAGTTTCAAAAGGAAACGAAACGGAGATAGATGGCAAAAAAAAGAGGACATAAATTAAAACAAAAATGATATAAAATATAAATGAGTAAAACAGAGATATAAGGAAAGAAAAAGAAGGAAAAGTACAAATGAGAAAATAACGAAGAGTTCTTGAGAAATAAAAGAGAGAATGTAGACAGAGGGAAAATAGTTAAAATGTCAGGAAAGAGATAATAAATATGAAGGAGAAAAATAAAAGGACATGAGAATCGAAATAGAGAATAGAAAAGAAGAAAAAATGAAGGCAAACGAGTTGAACTGAAAAATATGTATGAAGTAAAAATGGAAACGAATAGAAGGAATATTACTAAGACAAGTGAACGAAGGAATAAGTCGAGATGTGAAAGAAACGAATATTCTTCTGCAACGATCTACAGGAATGTAAAACTAGTTGGGAGAAGGAATAAGAAGCCATTAAAAATAAATAAAATATAAAATATTGGTTAAATTTAAGACGATAAAGAATAATGGAACGAAGGAATAAAGGATTAAGGTGAATAAAATAAAATATTGCAACAAAGGAGTAAAAAAGATGAGAGTTTCATCGAATAAGTGAAGAAAAAGGTTGAGCGGAGATTTAATCGGATAACGGATTAGGAGAATACGGGTGGAAAAGAATAGTGGGTAAGAAATTAATTGAGAACACGAATGTAAAGTGGATAAAATAAAACTGGGAAGAAAAGAGAACTAGACATTTGCGATAGATAGGCAGGCATAAGAAATAGATGTTGAGGGGAGAACGTCGTAGGAACAGTTAAACGAGTAAAGACCAAAAGAGATTGTGATTGAAGAAAGAGTGAGAGAAAGAAAGAGAAAGGAGGAGAAAGGTCTGTTATTGCAAAAAATAGAAAGAGATTAGAAGAAAGAGATACAACATTATCAGACGTTTGATATGATTTGTTTACTAGTTCACTGGCAGTTTATTTTAGAACATATAGTCGAATGAAATTAGGACGTTTTTTCAGACGTTTACTGAGAATTTGAATCCTAATTCTGAAATTAATGGATGCATATCTCTTTTGTTCACAGAAAGAATGAAGGTTATAGAATGGTTATCGATGAGTTTATAACTACAGGAATGTCTTACTTGCAAAGAGGAACCAACATTAACTTGCACCAGATTTTTCACAAAACATCGCTGAGAATCAATACATTTTTTACGATCTCGGATACTTCTTACTGCTAAGGGAAATTGATATTTCTTCCATCAGATAGGCTCGAATATATATATATATATATATATATATATATATATATATATATATATATATGTGTGTGTGTGTGTGTGTGTGTGTGTGTGGGTGGGTGTTTGATTGTGTATATATATATATATATATATATATATATATATATATATACATATACACGCGCACACACACACACACACACACACACACACACACACACACACACATATATATATATATATATATATATGGAGAAACGTTTATAGGAAGGCAAGTAGTAAAAAAGAAACTATGTCAAATTTTATGATGTAAGTCAATATTTTTGATTTAGCTCAAGCAAGGCGATAGCACCACTTATACAGAAGGGGGCTACAATAAACGAAAGAGAAGGAAAATAATTTAGAAGGAACCGGAAACCTCATCCTAAACGGGAAACCTCCATTCCTGTTCGAAAAACCGAGGAGGGTTCACAATAAAATGAACATTCGTGAACAGATGTTAGCAACATTTTCAAGATACGTTTATATGAAAAATACACGGTGTGATTTTCAGCTTATGATATCTAAAATTATTAAAATAATCATAGTAACTATTTTGGTGGGATTGTGAGGTTTAATTATGCAAACACGCTCAAAGCAACAAATTTTTATTTATAAATAAAACCCTTACATACCAGGTGAAACAACAATATTGCCCAAATCGTGTAACAACAACATTGTCTAATTGGTAGATTAAGATTTGAACCGTTGTATCTTAGAAATGGTTAAAGATATCTTACTGGGATTTTCCGAGGTTTTTATAACACTATTGGACTCTACTTTGAGCAATAAGAATGTATAATAACTCTCTAAGCTTAACAGAAGAATCGTGATGAAATCGATCATAAACGAAAATGACATGTCATCATTAAGTAATCATAGCTAAGGACAGGAAGCCCATGAAGGATTGAAATTATGTTTATATATATATATATATATATATATATATATATATATATATATATATATATATATATATATAAAAACATAATTTCAATCCTCCATATATATATATATAATATTCCAGGATCATTTTCCAACTTATGATCTTCTAATTTTCTATCCTGGAGTCACAAGTTTCAACTACAATTTCATTTTCATTTCTAGCTGAATAACACAAAGGGTTTTTCAGTGATTCTTACGACAAATAGTATCAAGGTGGCAATATGATATGGGAGAACCTGGAAAGAAGAAACTCTATTAGTTTAGTGTATTTTTATTAGATATTAAACATTTTGTGGGATGGACAATTATGCTGTTACAACCGTTATAAGCAAGAGAAAATATATTTCCCACATACACCAGAATAATTTTTAGGCAAGGCGTTAATGTCACTAATACATGAGGGGTTACTGGAAATGGAAGAGAATGGGAAGATTTTATTGAGGAGAGACAATAAAAGCCCAGGAAGAAAAAAAAGACAGCGATTGATGTTTTATTTAATATTTGAAGGTTGTAGATAGCAAAGAAGCAAGAAACCGAAAGAAGAGAGTTCCACAGGTTGCATGTGCGAGAAAGGAAACTATTATAATAGAACCTACTGTTAGAGCTTAGCTATTTTCAACAATAAAACAATGAGACGTTGTTGCCAGGACACAAATAAACGCGGTCGATGTACCAAAGAGGGAGTGTTCATCAGAACAACTGACATGGAAATATTTATAAGATGCCTTCCAAGAGCTAAATAAAATATTAAGAAACAGTCAATTTCGAAAAGAAAAGAGGGTTAGATTCCTGTGTAATGTTAATTATGTTATATAGTACAGAAAACGGGAAAAGTTTTGCAAGAAGATTTCCGGGAACAGAGATGTGGTTCTGCAGAAGATTTCCGGGAACAGAGATGTGGTTCTGCAGAAGGATACTAAGAATTCCATAGACAAAAGATGTGAGCAACGAGAAAATTTTCAAGAAAATGAAACAGAAAAGACATTTTTTAATTCGAATAAGAAAGAAACTTTATGGGACACATGATGAAGGTTGGAAAATTTGACCTTCCCAAGACATATTGAAGGCAAAGGATGTAGAGGATAACATCGAATAATAAACGAAAACAGAGAATGGGAGGGATAGTTAAGGAAATTGTAAAGGGTCATGACGACCAACGCCCTAAAAGGATACGGGACATAAAAAAAGTAACATCAGTATTTTAAGAACCATTTCACAACTATCTAAAACGATATATCTTTAAGAGGAAGGTCCAGATTTGTTGGAAACTTTGTCGTGTTTTTTGTCTTATTTAGAAAATATGCACTTTGATCATGATCTTTCCGTTATTGATGAGCGTGGCTATGTTACTTCACAAATTAATCATCAAAAGAAGTTGCAGTTTTTAATAGGCAAACAGGTTTGGCAGCACGTTCACTTCCAACACTAAGGTTGTTCATAATTTATCTAAACACTTATTGTCTACGACTGAATTCATGTTTGGAATTCTATATTTCTCGTTGTCTATTTTTGCGGAATCCGAAGTGTTTTCCGCTCATATCATTACGCCGCTTTTAATATTTGATTATTAATAAACTCGAAAAGGTGTAGTTGTTGTAGTTAGGGACTACAACGATTATATCAACAAAATGGGAACAAATTTATAAAGTTGGAACGAGACAAAACACATGACATTACGAAATCAATTGACTGGAATTTCAAAAGCATTTACTCCCTTTAGTTAAAAATAAAGTCCTTGCGGTGGATATTTTTTGAAGCTATTAGGCTTCCATTCTACAACGATTTTATGGTTTACCTAAAACTCATAATATTAATGTTTCATTGTGTTTTATTTTATCAATACTAGGTTCGGTATAGCATAAGTTGGTAAAGTGATTGCAGCTTGTGTTGTAAGATTATACAGTTGTGTCAAGGACCCTTTCACTTTTGCCAATTATACGCACAACTGTCCTTTAAGTTCTGATGATAAATTTACATGCGACATGACCAATCATGTATACCAATCTATTGGTATTTACGCTGATGCTTTGTACCGTAGTAATTTTTACCCACTCTTTATATTTCTGGAGCCGTCCTCGTGGAGCTGATGTTCGCTACCATGTCTGTGGAATTTAGTTGCGATAAGACCATTTATAGGCAAGTAGACGGGATAGCTATGGGCAGTCCTTTGAGACCGATGTTAACAAATATATTTGTTAGTTTTTACGACCAAGATTTATTTACACGAATTAAAGGACCCAATTATTATGATAGATATATCGGAGACACCTTATGTGAGATCATTAATGAGATTGGGGCGAGGGTATTTTATCAAGCACTTAACACATTGCCCCCGGATTTGCACTTTACACGTGAAAAGGAGAACAATGTTGTTTTTTTCCTTTCTGGATGTTCTGGTACACATATCAGATCCAGGTATTGACATACCCGTCTACCGTCTATCAACCTTAACGAGCTAATATACCCGTTAGGATTCCTTTTGTTCTAAACTGCAAAACTTCATTGTGATTAAGCTCTAGTAATATTCTCTGAAGCCAAATTCAGAAATTCAAATTTACGGATCTAATCCCAGTACTAGACTGACAACTATATCTCAACATTTTATAGTTCAAATGGTTAGATATAAGATTATATACAGACAATTTATTTTCTCGCACTTTTCACTTGAAGAACTCTCTTCCGGTTTTGCTTTCTAGTCAACATTGATTTTCAAAAGTGCAATGACAAACGTTATCTTCTATCTTCTTAATTCATGTTCTTTTATTGTTCTCTCCCCTTAATAATAGTTTGCTTTTTCTCATGTTCTTTCACACTCAATACATCCTTGCATTTTAATGGCTATTTTTGCCTTGTTTAGGGCGAAATGATAAAAATATTGAATTTATTAAAACAGTTCTGAACAAAAACGGGTAACTGTTGGGTAGACAGCATTTGGGTGAAATGTAAGTGTTGGTTAAATTTAAGCGAATTAGATCCCAAAATGTATCGTATATTTTCAAATACCGTAGATTGGTGATTAAAGGATTTGCTATACAGATTTCTGTGTGTGTGAAATACTTATCCATCTGCCAATCCTCGTATTATCAATGTTGAGACCGAACCGGAAGGACGTTCTACGTCATCATATCAATTCGTAATTTACCAATTTAAATGTCATTGCGACACTATGTCGGTGGAACGGGTCAAAGCCTGGAAGCAAAGATCAATCAGCACGTATTAGTTAATATTCGCAATTTGTATAGGAACATGAATACAACTGGTTCGATGATAGTTGAACATTTGTTAAAAAAAACAGCAATGTGTTCAGTCTTATAAGGAAAACATTTTCTCAGTAATGACGAAGATTAATTCTGAATTTAATTGGAAGGTGTTGGAATCTATTTACATTATGTACTGTCAAGTCCCCCTCCACCTCTATAAGCAGAAGGAGTGGTTGTTAGGTTTAAATGTAATTAGCCTGTAATTGGTATATATTGATTATATAACATTTAGTGTTTGGCGGTCCGATAAACCGATTTAGCTGATTTTATGTTAATCATATTGTATTTCGATATTACCACTTTACGGTAATAGTATCTTTTTACATCTTTATTACTATTATTTTTTTTTTTCAATATGTTCGTTTTTTTATAGCTTTAATTATCTTTAATGTCAACTGGGACATATCTCACAAGCTTGAACTTTATGGAAGTAACGATGTCCAGATTATGGAGAATTACATAGCAACCGCTAACCCAAAAGCCTAAAAGTCGTGAATTGTGACGGAAATTGAAATCAATCTGTGAAACTCAATGCAAACCATAGCCTTCTGTCAGACTTGGCCAGGATGGAAAACTGGCGATTCAGGAATTTATGTAGTTATCAATAAAAGCAAAATCGTTGAAAAATATACTGAAAGGCAACATTTTTTCGCAGAATCACTTATTCTACTAAAAGGTTTTAAGAGGAAATAAGAAAGAGAGAAAAAGTGAAAAGAAAAAAATGCAAAAAAAAGAAAAAAAGACGGATCGACACATCTTGTAGGCAAAAAGTTAATAAGAAAACAGCACAAAAAGGCGATATAAAGAAATACAAAGAAATATACGATAAGAAAACGATATAATGATATAGAGAATCATTATATATATATATATATATATATATATATATATATATATGAAGAGAGAGAGAGAGAGAGAGAGAGAGTAGTGAATTAGAGAAAGAATGAATTAGAAAAGAGGAAGAAAAAGGGAGAAAGGAAATAATGCTTCGCGGAAGTTGGAGTCAAGATGAGTTTTAATTGTATGTAGGAAGGCACATAATCAAAGTCTATTATTATTATTGTTATTACGTTTGCTATTATTACAATAATTATTATTACTTTTACAATTATTATTACTATGAGTGTTATTACTATGAGCATTATTATTACTATTATAATTATTACTATTATTATAACACAATTATTATTATTACAATTATTATTCCATTTATTATTATTATTACTATTATTTTTATTACACTATTATTATTATTATTATTATTATTATTATTAAATAAATCGGAGAAAAGATTTCTGTGTACCATATCAGCAAAGACAAAATTCGAGTTGAGGTATAAAAAAGTTGTGAGAAAATATTTCTTTTTAAAAGAAAAAGGGAGCAATACTGATCGGTAAATTAACTGGTCAACTAAGATCCTCGTGTATTAAAATCTGAAAATCTACACCGGTTTAAAAATGCATTTATTGAATTTACTTGTGGGATGACGGAATTATATCGTCATGACCAGAAAGTAGATTTTACCACTGGAAAAATATGTTACATCTTTATTTTTGAATGAAATAATTTATGAATAGTTCATCATTTCCAGTTATTTAAGTAAAGTATTTCTATTTTAATTGAAGAAACCGACTTCGAAATCTTTAGCCATCATTAATCTCTATCTTCCGACACTAATAAAATAATTTTATTCACTAGACGAGCTACAACACTACACCAGCTCGTCTGGTGTAAGGTAACAAAGTAAACTAATATTATTTCGATATGCTATTCTAAATTTAGTTCAATCAACTTGTATACTCATAATTATCTAAATTCTCGTCAAATTCTGATAATAAAACTTTTGTTTTTATCAAACAGAATTTTGTTGTTACGGTTTGAAACTAATATTCCAGGATGATATTGATGAGGCGCTGATAAACGTAGATTATTTATACTTTTTAAAGTTTTAAATCTGATTTCCGCTGATTTCTTTTAACATAGCTTCCTTCTATTTGAAATCTCGATGATTTCAGATTGGACGAAAATAGGAAGTTAGAGGCCTTCGGGGTGATCTACTTAATGCATTCACTTATCAAGTATTTGTTACAATTAAAATTCTTCGCAAAGGAATGAATTCATTGCAAGATTACAAAGAATCAATGAATTTTAGATTTATATTATATATATATAAATATAAGGGTTGTTATAGAGGGTATAAGTCTTTATAATTTAAAATTTAAAATCAGAAATATTTTTAAAAAGTATTATTTATATATCAGTATAAATAAATATATTAAAACAAGAGTAGGAAGAGCAAGAAAAAATGTTTCGCGTTTCTATAAGAAAGATTGAATCAGTTCAAAAAGTCGTTCAGAAATACTAGATTATTTCAACATGTGAAAAAGACCAATCTGTCTAACACTGTCGAATGCCTTCGAGATATCAAAAGCAACAGCCATAGCTTCGTCATCTTTGTCTAAAATTTGACTATTTCACTATTTTGACCTGGAGAAGCGAAAACTATATAAGAAGATCCGGCAATGTTAGAGGCTTAACGAATTTAGAATTGATTAATGCCTTATTCTATCTGTAAATACTTCACCTCTTTTAGGACACTTTTACAATTGCTACGAGCAAACGCAAATAGGCTTCTGGTGAACTATTACGCTAGAACACTCGGAAGAAAACACTATGGAATACAGAGACAAAACAGGCCGGTGTGAACCAATGAGAAGATTATGGTTTCACCTGGTATTTCCGAAAAGGAACAACATCATTGCTGACTTTGACTCAAGAAGAAACTACTATGGTACAATTCTCAATAGGAAAGTTAAGAATCTCAATCCAAAGGATATTTCGAAGAAAGTCACGAAACGAATCCCAATATCTCTATTGATTTTTTTTATATTTTTAACTATCTGGAGTTAATATTTTGTTCTGTCATTCTGTTTTCAACCTTTGCAGTAATTATCGTGAACTGGGTATATGGTAGGCAAGATTTTGTTGGTATTAAATATTTTATACCCACTTTAAGATGCCGTTTTTTTTTGTCGTGAAAAATTTTATTTAATGTAGCTTGATTTTGTTTGTGTAATTATAGCTTCTAGAATTTTGAATCTTTCCTCGCAATGAGTATTGTATTTAGAAAAAATAAAGCAGCCACTATTCAGATAAAGTCAATATAAAATTGAAACGTTTTGATCAAACGGAGATAACAGTAAAAAGGATCAAAATGTGAATGATAATGATAAATTTCGTAGGTGGACAGATATGAACATAGAATAGAATAGAAATGGAAACTAAGAAAACAATATCGATATGAAAGGATTAATAAAAACTGAGTGAGATATACGGGTAGAATGAGATAATGAGTTAGTAGGGTGGATTGATTGATACAAAAAGTATAAAACCTCAAACTAGATATCTGAAGATTCAGAAAACATTATGTGAAAAAATGTAACGTGAGTTAGAGAGAAGAAAAGAGAAAGTTGGAAAAGAGTATCACAGGAAGAAGAATTAAAATATATCGAAAGGAAAAGTCCGGATAATGAATTGTTGCGATGAAAGCAAAATACGGACCGGACAAGATTTAGCTGAAATACTTTCAAGATGATGGCTTAATCAAAAAAAAAAAAAAAAAAAAAAAATGCCCAAATGCTACTACCAATACAACACCAACGAAATAAACATTTTATCTTTCTTAAAAAATAAAAAAGATAAAAGAAAAAACTAAACTCTAAATATACGAAAAATAGTAGAAAAAATGTTTTTTTGTGATTTTAGAAAATCTGAGCTGCTCATGATGTGACCTTATTATAACGTCATTGATTCAAAGAACAATGATAAGAATAAAAAGATGATAATAGAAAAAGCGTGTTGTAATAAACGAAGAAAAAGCGAAAACCAAAAAATAAAAAAAAATGTTGGAATAGATCTTTGTAAGAACGAAAGAGGAAGATGACAGAAAAAGAATGAAAAAATCATAGAAGATGTAGAAGAGAATTAGGAATCAGCTATGATAGCGATGAAAGAATAAAAAGAAAAGCTAATTGAAAGTGAAGAGGCGACGACAAAATGGGTCATAAATCGTAGAAGAAAGATGTAAGAAAAAATCAAGCAGAAGAGAAAACATTAGTAGATTAAAAAGGAGGAGAGAAGTGACGAAATAGTAAAGAAGTGGGGGAAAAGAAAAGAGTAGCAGTAAGAGAAAGGAATCAAACTGAATTAATTAAAAAAAAAACGATGAAGACAATGAAGTGCTATTGGATGCTGAAAATATATTAACCTAGATCTGTTAAATCTTAACTCATATTTAAATATCCCTAACTATAAACCTTCATCTCAAAGAGAAACTCATAAATCGAAGGATACACACACACATGTATATACACACACAGAAACATTCATAATAATGAAACAGTTAAAAACAAGAACTTAAATAATTTTGCATACTATGAAATCTGTGAAAAATCCCATATACTCACTTTTTTATTCATAATATTTTAAGGCAACTCAATTTGTGAAGTTTTCCAATAACTCAGAAAATCTTACCAATTAATGAATTGTCAGAGATAATTTAAGGAGATCTTGTTTCAAATATAGTGTTACAAAACTTGATAAATCCATGATTGAGAGAATCATTTTACACACACACATTCAATAAAATAGACTTTCTAGATTGACAACTAGGTCTCACCAGTTTACTGTTAAACAAGCTCGATGCAATGGTCTCTTCTATTTTAACAGTTTCTCGGACTTCTAACCTGCGAAAATCACTCCGGATTATCTGCTTCCCTACCACCTACAATATTAAAAAAAAATCTGTTTTCCTAAAGCCTGTTCCTTTAATGTACTTTCCTCATTTTTCCTTACTAAAGTATTTTCATTCTCTTCCGTCCATGTAACCCCACTAGAACCTAATGGCATTATCACCTTGCATGCGGGTGAAATAATTAAAAAAAGTAAATTTTTAAATAAATCCCCGTTTATGAGAGATTACAGGCAAATATCAGAATGTTGTAAAAGAATGGTACACCAGTGTTGTAATCTCAGCGTCTTCGGTGTCCTGCTCTTAATAAAGTTAAGTCGGTAATGTTCTTAGGAAAAGATTATTGTCATTACAGTCATCGGGCAGCAGACTGAATTATGCACGACTAAATCGGGATGAGGCGATCTTTTGTGTTTTGACATCTATGTGTGTCGTGTTATGTAAATAATGCAAAAAAAAAGGTAAGCTTTTTAATTCAGGTTTCGATATTCTTTAAACAGTTTTCGAGAATCTTTTCAATCTTTTGGACTTCCAATGGAGAGACTAAGCAAGAAAATTTTAATGGGTGTCCGTTGATTTAGTTGTTAAAAATAAAAGCTGTCAGCTATTTCCTACCACACTGACGGCTATTCGAATATAGCAATTATAGAAGAAAGTGCTAAAATGTTTCCAGCCCGGTGAAGAAGCTTAAAAATTTCCGATATCTGAAGAGTTGCCGATTTTTTCTGAAGTGAGTCTAGCTGATAACTTTTCATCACTCACTTTTTGCTGTGAAAAAATATGAAATATTTACTTTTGTGAAAGCGTATGATTAAAATGCTTAAACAACTTTATGTCAAGAAATAATATGTTGCGGATAGGGACAAGAAAACTGTACAACAGAAATTTGTTAGGCATTCACAAACACAGCAGTAAGGTCCTCAGTAGTATAGTGGTGAGGGTCCCCGCCTGTTACTCATGGTACTGGGGTTCGATTCTCCGACTGGGAGCATTTTCATATTTGGTTACCTCGACGTGGCGTAATGAAGCTTGTCTCGCTAGAACGATTAAACACTGAGTATTGAGTTCGATTCTCACTAGGCCACATCTAAGCTGCGCTTAAAAAATCACCATAAACGGAGCAATAAATTGCATCGAAAATCATAATTATTGAGAAGGGTAACAATATTATCTCTTATATTAATATTAATAATTTTTAAGATCAGATGTAATATTGAGGTAAGTGCAGGTGATTTGAGAAGACATTGTATCTTTATCGCTAATGAGAGCTATCAGTTATCTGTTGTATGTAACAAGTAGTAAGGGTATAAATCAGAGTGTAAACTAGAAAATAACAAATAGACTGGAAATGTTAGATGGATCTGTACAATCAAGAAAACAGAATATGCGAAATGGGAAAAGATATTTTGTCAGATCATATATGTAGATGAGTTGGGCATTTCGAATAGGTTTAATGATAAGCAATCTTGTCTTGATAGAGTAATTACAACTGAGTAGTGAGTTCGATCCTCAATTGGCTCTCCATACGCTTAGAAAACTACCATAAATGTAGATGAGTCAGTTGACCACAAACTGAAGATAAGCAGCTTATGAAAAATAAAATTTAAAAAAAATACCAGTGCTTTGTTTACGAACTGAAGAAATTGGGATTATGGAGGTTAGGATAGTTCCAGTCATATAAAGCGCCATTTGAATCGTGCCAAAATCAATTCTGGAGGTGAAGAGGTTAAAGAAGAGATTGTTAGAGAATTTGAGGAGATTTATTCGCATTTAATCCCCACCTGATATCTGATGTGAACAAGCACAGAATAATAAGTATAATTATCTTGTATTAGGTCATAATCAGTATTATTATTAAAAAAATACAATAAATACACCTTTTCACAACGCTAAACTAATATTACTACTAGTAAGAATAAAGTTATAAAATGCAAAGGAAATTATTTCATATATCTTTCTCTTTGTCTCCCTTTCTGTATATGCATGGAATTATATGTATATCTTATTAAATACAACTTGTCCCAATAATAAGTATAAAAAACACCACGGTAGCATTTTATGTTTTTTTAAACTCATTTCATCCCAAGTAAGGCAATAAAGCCACTAAGACGAATTTGAAAGAATATGAGAAAAAGAAGAGGAGAGAGAATAGTAAAAGGAAACTGATTAAGAAAACAGAAGACAACGATTGACATTGGATTTAAATTTTTGAAGATCAAAGTTGACTGGAAAGCAAGGTGGATGAGAGTTCCACAATTGGGAAAGGCGAGAGAAGAAACTGTTAGCATAGGACTTACGGTTACATCTAGCCATTTGAAATATAAAACGATTAGACCTAGCTGTCAATTTTGTACTGCGCTTAAATTCGTAAAGTCGAGGTCCAAAGAACAATTACCATGAAAATCTTTATAGGAAAGGCACAGGGAAGTTACTTTATGACGGTGGGAAAAAGGCTGAAGCCAGGATGTGTGATATATATGCTCATCATGAGGTAGTTGATGCAAAACACACTCCTTAGAGCTTTTGTCTCACTGAAATCATGATATTGAAAGAGTAATCTAAATCACATTTATTACCAAACCTTTGTGGTTTAAAAATGGAACATATTTTATTGAGAATCTATTGCAGACTATCAACCTACAAATAGTAATAATAATAATACTAATACTAATAACAAAAAAAATTATTACGCAATCCTAACATCATTGATAAAACTATGGGAAAGTTGCAGAATATAGTATTTTGACAATGTGTTATAGTGTTTTTTATTTGAAATGGCATGCTATACTTAAAATACATTAATTTAAGAAATAAAGAAAAATTTGGATATGTATATATATATATATATATATATATATATATATATATACAGATAGATAGATAGATAGATAGATAGATAGATAGAGAGAGAGAGAGAGAGAGAGAGAGAGAGAGGTAAGCATTTAATCCGTCCACACTTCTTTACACATATGAATACAGACCTTCTGGGCATAAGAATTGAAAGAAAAAAATCATTTGTGCATGTGCGCATTTATTCAAAGAAAAAACATAAAACAAAAGTACTTAAAAAAAGTAAATAAATAAAGACATTGAAAGAAGCCTATGCATCAACACTATGCATTTGACATGAAGATCAAAACAAAATCTCATCCATGAGATTTCATCTGTGTGTCTCTTTGCCCGATAGCAGCGATTTACAGATAGACAGTCAGAAAAAATAATCGGAAGGCCGGAAAATTAAAAAAAAATCATTGTTCAACGCGGTTTAAAAGACTAACCAAAGGACAGACATAAGAATGCAATTCAAATAAATTCGGATTTTGAAAAAAAAAAGTAGCACATACATATTCAGTTCTAGATTGATAAAGATCGTTAAAATTCTGACGTTCGCTTTAAACAAGGATATTCATAAATTCTCTAAGCAAGAAGGCGATCAAGCCAAATACGATCTTATTTGTATTCTATTCTTTTAATAAAAACTTAAATAAATTAATTGAAATCAGGGGTTGCTTTTTAAACTAAAATGGAAAAATAGAGATTCAGAAATTCTACATGAAAATAAATTTGAATACGTGCGTAGAGAATAGCATGGACTGAACATGTGAGCAAAGACGAAACAAAAAGGACCCTTATATTTAACATTAGAAAGAGACAGTTGAAATTTCTAGGTCACATAATGAGGAAAGACGTTTTAGAAAATTTGATACTCATAGGACAGATTAAAGGTAAGAGGAGCATAGAAAATAAAATCGTATCCTAACTCTATAGAGAACAGGAAATTGTCGAGTCATAAAGAAGAAGAAGAAGAAAAAATGAAATCAATATTATGCGAAGAAAGTATTTATAGATCTTCGGAACCCTTATATATTGTCTGTCGGGTTACCTTGTCCATAATAAATAAAGTAGAACTTGACTTTCATTTCCCTTTTTCCTTTCTTAACCAAAAGCTACTGGTATTCAGGCTATTTCGAAGATAAGATGATGTAATGAGCTGTTTGGTTAAACATATTCTAATGTGGCCATCAATAATCCGGCAAAAGCTCGTTTCCGACTTTCTACAGGCCTCAATGATACGTAATTAGCAATAGCCAGCTTACATTCTATTTAGATTTGGATTGAAGCCGAGCTACTCTTGAAGCGAGAATGGTGAGGAACCTAGTCATTTTAACTTTCGCAATTTATGGAGATCTAAACGTGGTAAGCAAAGGCACTTGTCAATATTTCATAAGGTTATCAGAATTAGATTGAAACTTTAGTGTAATGATTTTATTTACAGAGGAGAATTTCACTAAGTAAAATTTTAAGCCTATGTCTTTTTAGGACGTAGGCGATCACGACTATTCATTGTTTATCTGTGACTTGACATCTTGGGAAAGATAGTGGAGTTGTTTCACACTGCCTTCTCCACGTTTTTTAATCTAGAGTAGTTCCTTTTCTTAGACTGTCAAGGCATGAGAGGCAAGTATACTCTGCTAAGCCCATAGATAGAGGCAGAAAAGTTAGTTATGCCTCTCTCAACTACATTAGTATGCAAGTCACAAAATTGATTGATTGACAATCTTTTACAGCTTAACAACCCTTTGCAGGATATTTAAAGCCAGAAAATATTTTTAGATTGGAAGAATATTTTGAAGGTAATAATGATTTACTGATGCAACACCTACTAATTAAATCACAGCTGGAGAGAAAAGAAGGATGATTCATACTTTTCCCAAAAGTATTTGTGCATAAGTAAATATAACGGACCCGACTGGAACTAGAACTCAGGTCTCCGATTTCCAATTCCATTCAGTTATGCATCATACCACCCACAAATTCAACCTTACAACAACTTGTATTCCCAAGAAGTCACTCATCTAGATACTGACCAGGCTCGATATAGCTTAACTTCGGTGATCGTACGTGAACTGATGTTTCAACATGATAATGACATAATGGACGAATGTTTTGGTGATAGAAATCAAAAAAAGTAACCATGAACATTGCTAGTAACTATGGACATTGTTCTTTCTATCCAATTCCATCGATATGGTCCGATTACATCAACTGATATTTGCTATCGAAATAATCTTTAGTTAAATGAATAATAAGATATTTTGTACTTTGATTTTATCTCATTTAAACTGTGTAAATCTCACATTTTCATTCTTAGCAAACCTCATAAACATTTTCTTTCCGTTAATATTAATTTGTTTATTCTTTTTCGCAAATAATTGTGACTATTTTTTTAAAAATTGACTAAGAAAATCGATTTTTTAATAAAATCATATTAAAAATCGATTTTCTTTCGTTTAATACTACAATTTGAATATGCAACCAAAGCTCTATTTTCGCGTTACTGTTTAAATTTTCCGAATGTTATTTCGTAAGTACAGAATATTTTATGCGCTCATTTGATTTTGAAAAGAACCAAATTATTTAATTAAGTTTAAAGGAATGGCTACGTGAGGTCAAAATCCAAATCATTTCCAACAGCTTAAAACTCACGAGAAAATTATATTGATACAGATTTCAATTGCCTCGATGTCACTTCTTTTTCTCTCTCATAAACACGTGATATTCGCAACGTGTTTGTTTTCTTTTCAGAGAAGAGGTAAGAGATAAGCGAGAAATAAATGATAATATAGAGTGAGAGAAAAAGAAGAGAAAGTGGTTGGTGCTATCAAGTAAGATTTGAATATAGTCATTAACAGTTAGTTATTAATTAAATCTGACAAATATAAATTAATACCAACGTACTTTTGTGCTTAGACCGTCTCGAACACGAAGTGCGTCGATGATCAAAGTTGAATATTGCCTTATAAACGCAAATCTTTCTCAGACTCTCGAAACATGCATATTTTTTAGTTTCGTTCCCTAACGTAAACAAAGCAATTCATAAAGATGCGATGGATTTTTTATTTATTAATCCAACAGGATGTTGTTGTAGGCAGGTGCGTAAAAAGACCAACCATTACCACCACATCACAATTACCATTGCCATATTAGTCCACACTTACTACTACACCAAATTACATTACTAATAAGCATTATAAATTGTAGTTTCTGCTATTTACATATGCGCAATCACCTAAAACAAGCAAAGAACCGGCATTAATATAATAACAGAACAGCATTAAAAATAATAGCAATTTTAAATACCATAGTCATACACAGCCCCCCATCATAAAAAAAGAAGAAAGAAAACAGACGGATAGAAGATGTGTGAACGCGTGTGCATACGTATATACCTGTGTGCGAGAAAACATTATTCAGTGAACAAAATAGACGAACGGTCTGCGCGTTGACACTGCAACTGACGGAAGATATTCGCTACACAATCCAACATTGAATACAGCGACCAATTGTGTAGGTATGTACGCAACGACACATGAATGCGCATATATACCCAGTTCTACGCTGTTCATATATGTTTATGTTCGTGTGAGCTCCAGTGAATGAGCGTGCGTGCATGAATATCTTCGTACATCAATGAGAAAACGAGCTTGTATGTATGTTTGCGTATGTAATAGTGGCATTCTGACGACAATTTTTCTTCCCACTACCATAAAACACCGATATACACAACCATATATAAATCCAAAATTTAAAAATGAATTAGTTTGTCTGACGATCGCAAATAGTCACAAACTCACACCAATCCAACTAAATATGTTAGCTCTATCTCTATCTATAAAACGCAGGATGTGTGTATAACGAATGCACGGTCGCAATTTTCGACGGATTTGCACCAAAATTTACATGCACATGCTCCAAGTTAGTGGGAAGGCCAAAACCGACCTTGCATTTCCCAATTCCCATCGATTGTTTCCACTATCGATGGGAGTTTCATGCTTCTACTGCAGTTTTCATGTAGTTTGCGGCCATTTTGTACTGGCCAGAGTGAGAGCCTATAGATGGCTTCCACGAATAGGCAGGAAGATTCTACTGGCCAGCGTGAGAGCCAACAGCGGACTGACATGAATGTTAACTAGCATGCTAGCATGCAAAAAAAAATCGATAGCTGCATTCGTCACAAGTGGGGAAAAATTTAAATCTGCATGGCACTTTACTTCAATTGGCTCATTCACTTGCTTAAACTTAACGTTGATTCTGATTCCGCAGAGCTGGGTTGGGTGTGAAAAAGTATTTGTTGTTAACATTCTTTTCTCATTCGGTTTTTTCCAGTTACGAGTCCTTTTTTTAAAGCTGATCGTTTTGTGTTCATTTTGTTTAGTTATTTTTTCGTAACAGGTTTAATGTTTAGTATAGAGCTTAGAAAAAATTCGCAGTGTGAGTCAAGAAGTAAGGCATGTAGCAACATCAGCACAGCAAAGGGCACTCCTTTAAATATTTTAAGTCAAGTGATAGCGATTGCTGTATGAGTCGTACGATTTTTGAATCAAGCACGGGCAATGCTGCTAGTCACTTATATTCTGCGCTTTCCAATAAGTACGCATATATAATATATAAATGATATATATATATATATATATATATATATATATATATATATATATATATATATAAACATTTATATATATATATTATATATATATATATATATATATATATAGTCGACTCTCCCGTCGACATTCGACGTATGAGGGCCAAACAGATCAGTTTCAGAAACCGACAGGCAGACACCGGCACTATTTTCTTCTACAACATTTCATCTTTGAGGCAGCTTCATGTTTCTATCCTCACAGAGCTTGGCACCTTTCTGCGTGATATACTGACCAAAGTGATTTTACAGTCTTTCAGAGTATTGAAGTTCTTCTCATGATGACAATTTTATAGGTATTTAAATAAGTGGTAATCTGAAAGAGCAAGGTTAGGTGAATACGACAGGTGTAGTAGGACATTCCACCCAAATGTATTAATTTCTGCCGATTCTCGACAACTTTCATTGATTGCTGCCTTTAATCAGTACTTGTGAATAACATATATCTGAATCTGATTTTGACGAAGGGGTTTGTAAGATATAATACATTACCAACACCCCACGAGAAACACAACACCACATTCTTCGGTCAATGGTGGCATATTTCTTTTTCCCTCATGATATTTTTTGTTTCGCATTGTTCTAAATAATACTGTAATCGTTTTCAAAAATGGGTCATTTTTGTTCTGTTTGAGTAAAGAATCGCAGGTCTAATAATTTTATTTTTCCACTAAATCGTAATGTGATCAAGCATCGTATTCATGCATCCAATGTTTTGAAGTGCATTATAACGTTCAAAATGTTTAAATCAGCTCAAGAATTGATCATCATTCACTACTGCAGGCCTGCCGTAATGTTCTCCGATGTCCAGATCAAAATTTCCACTTTTGAACCTAGCCAACAATTTAAGAACACTACTCAAAACTATGGCACAATCTCTATAAACGGTACATATCTTTTTAATAGCGTTTTTTTCCTTTTTGGAAATAAGCAACGTGAAATGACGAAAGTGCATTTTTACTTTTAACGTAAAAAACATTTAAAATTCACAATCTTATAGTAAAACGTGTTGAAATATCATATTTCAGAATATGAATATATTTCAGCTACAATCCGACACATGAAGAAATGCTGACCTACTTCCTCAAATCAATAAAATAGTGGTTTGGAAAAATGGGTTATCATAAGTTAAATTATATAATTGAATGTGTTGTTATTAGGTTAATCAATACTAAACAAAGGTTGGTGTCATCAAATACTGTTTGTGAGATGATAGAGTTTATTTGAAACAACTTTCTTATATGAGGTTAGATGGAAGGACCTGTAAATTTATTGATGTCCTTTTACAGCTTTTATGTTTACTAATTTTTAATTTAACATCCTTAATATATATTTTTCAGATTGAATTCTTCTATGTGCATATATGGCATTGTGGTGATTACCAGATGAATAAAAAAGAAGACAATATAGAGAGGGGAAAGGGAGATCACCCCTCCCCCCTGTGGGATGAGGTTGGAAAAATAGACAGAGAACGTCATTGGAAAATACTTAAGGAATCAGCACATGTTAGGCCACAAAAATCACCTAAGCCGGCCAAGCATAGACATGGATACAATATGGGAATCAGTACAATAACAGCAACAAAATGTAATATAAGCTATGGTAGAAATGGTTACATTAGGTTTATAAGTCCCTTAGAATTCATACACGGATGTCTCCAAAAACATATAATGAATGGATAAATTCATTATTTTAAGACATTTTTATGTTTATACATTCTTTTTATAGATACAAATATTTAAGTAAATGCTCTGTTTATAATAAACAGTATTAAACAACATTTTACCAGTCTGAATATCCGAGAAATTTTCACAGAAAATATTCGTTCTACGACAGGATTCGAACCTGCATCCTATACGGAACCGTCATTTAGCTTGACGTCCCTTTAACGGATTTACAGTAAATTCGACCTTGCTAACCGAACGCTCCTCTGTGGCCAAATGTTTTAAAATAATTGTCGGACTTTGTCCATTTCATAATGTATAAATTCATTAGCTGAAGTAATCCAGTCACTTGACCCAAAGATTTGTGAATTCAATACCTGGCCACAGCAAATGCAAAAACTTGGAGAGTTCAGTTACTAAAGGGAAATAACGGAAACCGAGATATCATGGAACTAGAACAACGTATCCCTGTTGACGAAATAAAGGGTTCGGTTCGAATTTCCAACGTATATCACCTGAAGAAGGCCGGAGCAAATATGATAATAAAGATAAGGATAATGTAGATAGTCAACTAGAAGTGTTTTAATAATTTTATTTTTATTCAACAGCACAAAGCCTCCATTGACGAGGATATAACTATTGACAGTTTTACATTGATCAATCATTTTAGGAACTATAAATTGTTTAGAAAATGTTTATTGGTTAATCAAAAATTAATTTTCTCCCGTACAAATGTGGCCTTTTGGCAGTGGAGGATGAAGGGGGAGAATGTT